GAAAGAAAGAAATTTACTAAAAAAGAGAAGAAGAAAAACTTTATAAAACTGGGATGCTTGAATGTGCGTGGATGTAGTGCGGATGACAAGAAACAGATGATTGATGATGTTATAAATGAAAAGAAGTTGGATGTCCTGGCCCTAAGCGAAACAAAACTGAAGGGGGTAGGGGAGTTTCGGTGGGGGGAAATAAATGGGATTAAATCTGGAGTATCTGAGAGAGTTAGAGCAAAGGAAGGGGTAGCAGTAATGTTGAAGGATCAGTTGTGGAAGGAAAAAAGAGAATATCAATGTGTAAATTCAAGAATTATGTGGATTAAAGTAAAGGTTGGATGCGAAAAGTGGGTCATAATTAGCATGTATGCACCTGGAAAAGAGAGGAATGTAGAGGAGAGAGAGAGATTTTGGGAGATGTTAAGTGAATGTATGGGAGCCTTTGAACCAAGTGAGAGAGTAATTGTGGTAGGGGACCTGAATGCTAAAGTAGGAGAAACTTTTAGAGAGGGTGTGGTAGGTAAGTTTGGGGTGCCAGGTGTAAATGAAAATGGGAGCCCTTTGATTGAACTTTGTATAGAAAGGGATTTAGTTATAGGTAATACATATTTTAAGAAAAAGAGGATAAATAAGTATACAAGATATGATGTAGGGCGAAATGACAGTAGTTTGTTGGATTATGTATTGGTAGATAAAAGACTGTTGAGTAGACTTCAGGATGTACATGTTTATAGAGGGGCCACAGATATATCAGATCACTTTCTAGTTGTAGCTACACTGAGAGTAAAAGGTAGATGGGATACAAGGAGAATAGAAGCATCAGGGAAGAGAGAGGTGAAGGTTTATAAACTAAAAGAGGAGGCAGTTAGGGTAAGATATAAACAGCTATTGGAGGATAGATGGGCTAATGAGAGCATAGGCAATGGGGTCGAAGAGGTAGGGGTAGGTTTAAAATGTAATGTTAGAGTGTTCAGAAGAAGTTTGTGGTTACAGGAAAGTGGGTGCGGGAGGGAAGAGGAGCGATTGGTGGAATGATGATGTAAAGAGAGTAGTAAGGGAGAAAAAGTTAGCATATGAGAAGTTTTTACAAAGTAGAAGTGATGCAAGGAGAGAAGAGTATATGGAGAAAAAGAGAGAGGTTAAGAGAGTGGTGAAGCAATGTAAAAAGAGAGCAAATGAGAGAGTGGGTGAGATGTTATCAACAAATTTTGTTGAAAATAAGAAAAAGTTTTGGAGTGAGATTAACAAGTTAAGGAAACCTAGAGAACAAATGGATTTGTCAGTTAAAAATAGGAGAGGAGAGTTATTAAATGGAGAGTTAGAGGTATTGGGAAGATGGAGGGAATATTTTGAGGAATTGTTAAATGTTGATGAAGTTAGGGAAGCTGTGATTTCGTGTATAGGGCAAGGAGGAATAACATCTTGTAGGAGTGAGGAAGAGCCACTTGTGAGTGTGGGGGAAGTTCTTGAGGCAGTAGGTAAAATGAAAGGGGGTAAGGCAGCCGGGATTGATGGGATAAAGATAGAAATGTTAAAAGCAGGTGGGGATATAGTTTTGGAGTGGTTGGTGCAATTATTTAATAAATGTATGGAAGAGGGTAAGGTACCTAGGGATTGGCAGAGAGCATGCATAGTTCCTTTGTATAAAGGCAAAGGGGAGTGCAAAAATTATAGGGGGATAAGTCTGTTGAGTATACCTGGTAAAGTGTATGGTAGAGTTATTATTGAAAGAATTAAGAGTAAGACGGAAAAATGATAGCAGATGAACAAGGAGGCTTTAGGAAAGGTAGGGGGTGTGTGGACCAGGTGTTTACAGTGAAACATATAAGTGAACAGTATTTAGATAATTCTAAAGAGGTCTTTGTGGCATTTATGGATTTGGAAAAGGCATATGACAGGGTGGATAGGGGGGCAATGTGGCAGATGTTGCAGGTGTATGGTGTAGGAGGTAGGTTACTGAAAGCAGTGAAGAGTTTTTACGAGGATAGTGAGGCTCAAGTTAGAGTATGTAGGAAAGAGGGAAATTATTTCCCAGTAAAAGTAGGCCTTAGACAAGGATGTGTGATGTCACCGTGGTTGTTAATATATTTATAGATGGGGTTGTAAGAGAAGTAAATGCGAGGGTCTTGGCAAGAGGCGTGGAGTTAAAAGATAAAGTATCACACATAAAGTGGGAGTTGTCACAGTTGCTCTTTGCTGATGACACTGTGCTCTTGGGAGATTCTGAAGAGAAGTTGCAGAGATTGGTGGATGAATTTGGTAGGGTATGCAAAAGAAGAAAATTGAAAGTGAATACAGGAAAGAGTAAGGTTATGAGGATAACAAAAAGATTAGGTGATGAAAGATTGGATATCAGATTGGAGGAAGAGAGTATGGAGGAGGTGAATGTATTCAGATATTTGGGAGTGGACGTGTCAGCGGATGGGTCTATGAAAGATGAGGTGAATCATAGAATTGATGAGGGGAAAAGGGTGAGTGGTGCACTTAGGAGTCTGTGGAGACAAAGAACTTTGTCCTTGGAGGCAAAGAGGGGAATGTATGAGAATATAGTTTTACCAACACTCTTATATGGTTGTGAAGCATGGGTGATGAATGTTGCAGCGAGGAGAAGGCTGGAGGCAGTGGAAATGTCATGTCTGAGGGCAATGTGTGGTGTGAATATAATGCAGAGAATTCGTAGTTTGGAAGTTAGGAGGAGGTGTGGGATTACCAAAACTGTTGTCCAGAGGGCTGAAGAAGGGTTGTTGAGGTGGTTCGGACATGTAGAGAGAATGGAGCGAAACAGAATGACTTCAAGAGTGTATCAGTCTGTAGTGGAAGGAAGGCGGGGTAGGGGTCGACCTAGGAAAGGTTGGAGGGAGGGGGTAAAGGAGGTTTTCTGTGCGAGTGGCTTGGACTTCCAGCAGGCATGCGTGAGCGTGTTTGATAGGAGTGAAAGGAGACAAATGGTTTTTAATACTTGACGTGCTGTTGGAGTGTGAGCAAAGTAACATATATGAAGGGGTTCAGGGAAACTGGCAGGCCAGACTTGAGTCCTGGAGATGGGAAGTACAGTGCCTGCACTCTGAAGGAGGGGTGTTAATGTTGCAGTTTAAAAACTGTAGTGTAAAGCACCCTTCTGGCAAGACAGTGATGGAGTGAATGATGGTGAAAGTTTTTCTTTTTCGGGCCACCCTGCCTTGGTGGGAATCGGCCAGTGTGCTAATAAAAAAAAATAAAAAGGTCACTTCAGAGCACTTTTGAAACAGTGCTTTGGTGTAGAGTTTTTTGAAGTTTGAAATGACCTGCTGGTCCATGGGCTGGATGAAAGGTGTAGTACAGTGGACCCCCGCTTAATGATCACCTCCCAATGCGACCAATTATGTAAGTGTATTTATGTAAGTGCGTTTGTATGTGTATGTTTCGGAGTTTGAAATGGACTAACCTACTTCACAATATTCCTTATGGGAACAAATTCGGTCAGTACTGGCATCTGAACATACTTCTGGAATGAAAAAATATCGTTAACCGGGGGTCCACTGTATTAGGGGGCAAGAATTTCACTGTGATGAAACTAAACTCCTCCAACAATTGGTCTTCCAAGCCTGGAAGATGAGCAGGAGCATTGTCCATTACCAGGAGGTACTTGAGTGGCAATTGATTTTCCAGGAGGTATTTCTTCACACTCGGGTCAAACACTTCATTGACCCACTCAATGAAAATTTGCCTTGTGACCCATGCCCATGGTAACTAGCATTACCACAGAACAAGAGAGTTAGCCTATCCTTCATAAGCTTGTGTTCTGGCAGTGCCTTTTCCTCCTGCGTGATGTAGGTCCTCTTTGGCATTTCTTCCAAAAGAGTCCTATTTTATCACAATTGAAGACTTATTGGTAGAGGAATCCTTCAGCCTTTACATACTCCTTGAATTCATCAACAAATTCTTCTACCACTACCAGTGCTGCTGCTACCACTACTACCACCACTACTACTACCACCACTACTACTACCACTACTACTACTACTACCACCACTACTACTACTACTACCACTACTACTACTACTACTACTACTACTACTACTACTACTACTACTACTACTACTACTACTACTACTACTACTACTACTACTACTACTACTACTACTACTACTACCACCACCACCACTACCACTACTACTTCTACCACTACTACTACTACCACTACCACTACTACCACCACCACTACTACCACCACCACTACTACCACCACTACTACCATTACCACCACTACTACCACTACCACCCCCACTACCACCACTACTACCACTACCACCACCACTACTACCACCACTACCACCACCACTACTACCACCACTACTACCACCACCACCACTACCACCACCACCACCACCACTACCACCACCACTACCACCACCACTACTACCACTACCACCACTACCACTACCACCACCACCACCACCACCACCACCACCACCACCACCACCACCACCACCACCACCTACCACCAATTCCCCCCACCACTACCCCCACCACTACCCCCACCATTACCCCCACCACTACCCCCACCACTACCACTACTACCACCACCACCACCACCGCCACTGCCATCACTGCCATCACCGCCACCACTAGTGCTCTTTTCCCCCCATTCTGTTTTCTGGTCTTCCAAAATGTTCCAGGATAGAATGAAATGCTGGTCTAAACAGTCCTCTCCTAAGTGCAGGTTTTTGACAAAATGTTCTGGCCTATTCTTTAGGAGTGATAATAACAGAAGAGTTCACATTCAAGGATCACAACAGTGTTATTATTGCAGCTGCAAAGAAAATGAAAGGCTGGATAACTAGATTCTTCTAAGTAAGAGAAACTATACCACCAACACAGCCTTCTGACTAGGAGGGGCTTTTAAGTCACCCTCCTCTCCTATTTCCCTTCCCAATTAAGATTTTTATTATTTAATGCAGAAAATATGACTTTTATTCAAAACTTAATGGAATGACTAAACAGTATTTTTCCTTTTCTTTTAACAGAGATACCTAGAAACAATAGAATTCTTAGAGTCCTTTGAAAAGCTGCTTGGTTCTAAAGCCAAGATAATGGCTTTTCGGGAAATGATTGAATACAAGAGTTTTATGGAACACTGGAACCTTCCAGTGTACTTCCAGATAAGGTGAGTTGCAATTTTGCCTTGAGATTCGTTAAGAAAGTGAACAAAAATACAATTAATAATGATAGAAATGCATGTACATTTAAGGGAACAGAGTATAAGTGATGCACCAAACAAAATTATGGCTTGTTTTGTTTCTGTAAAGAATGGGAATGTGAAAGATTAAGGTGACTGTTTCATTACAGGTATCAAGAAATTGGACAGGTAGCAGAATGCAGCTTATGCCAGGATGGTGATGGTCTTGCCCAGTTGGGATTTAACAGCAATGGAGACTTTATTTACGTATCTTCTCAAATTATATGGGATAGCATTTTGAAGTGTTTCTCAGCCGAGGTGTTTCTTCCACCACTCCTCCATCGTTTCTGGAAGCTCATGTTGCTTGTTCTCTCACGCTACCGTACTTGGATCATAACCACAACAGATCAACTAAAGGTACAATTATAATTTTGGGGACATTTGGGAAATTTTCATGCTAGTATATGATTACTATTTTTTTTTAAATTTTTAATGTAATAAGTCATCAAGAAATTTTAATTCAACTTAAATAAAGCTTTCCAGTGAGATTGCATACAGTTACATACTGTATTTAGAACATTTATTGATAGTCTGTTAGAGAAAATTTAATGACTTGATTGCCTTAGTTATGCAGTCCTGGATGTTTACTACTAGTGAGTGAATACAAAAGGATGAATGTGAGGTTTGTGCAGCTAAGTTAAACAGAAAGAGAGAGGTGAAGAATAAAGCCACAATACTATGGTTGCAACAATTCATCAAAAACCTGCACCTAGGAAAAGAACCTTAAAACGTTTCCGTCCGTCCTGAACTATTGTCAGGTCAAAATTGCGATAGAAAAGCAGAGAAGATATAAAGATCATATGGTATGGGGTGGGGAAGAAGGGAGTGGTAATTGGAATAGAAGTAGTAGTAACAACAGTAGTGGTAACAGTAGTAGTATTAGCAGTAGTGGTAGTAACAGTAGTGGTAATAGTAACGATAGTGGTGGAGGTAGAATTAATGGCAGAAGTAGTTGTAAAAGTAGCAGCAGTAGTAGTGGTAAGGAGGTAGTAGTAGTAGTAGAAGTACAGTGGTACCCCGAGTTTCGAACTGCTCCCAACTCGAACAATTATGTAAGTGTATTTGTGTAAGTGCGTTTGTAAGTGTATTTTTGGGGGTCTGAAACAGACTAATCTAATTGACATTATGTTCCTTATGGGAACAAATTCATTCGGTATTGACACTCAAACAGCATTCTGGAATGAAATAAGTTCGAAACTCGGGGTACCACTGTAATAGTATAGAATGTAGTAGAAGTAGAATATCATAGAATGATGGAGCAGCAGCTGCTGCTGCTGCTAGTTGCTGCTGTTGCTGCTAGTTGCTGCTGCTGCTGCTGCTGCTGCTGCTGCTGCTGCTGCTGTTGCTGCTAGCTGCTACTAGCATCTGCCACTGCTAGGTCTTGCTGCTGCTGTACTACTACTACTACAAGAGATCTACTAACTCAGGCTGGGCAGAACTAGTAATAGAGTATTATTTTATATATTAACACATCGGTCGTTTCCCACCAAGGTAGGGTGGCCTGAAAAAGAAAAATTTTCCCTATCATTGATTCCATCACTATCTTGCCAGAGGAGCACTTACACTACAGTTATAAAACTGCAACATTAACACCCTTCCTTCAGAGTGCAGGCACTGTACTTCCTGTCTCCAGGACTCAAGTCCAGCCTGCCGGTTTCCCTGAATCCCTTCATAAACATTACCCTGCTCACATTCGAACAGCACGTCAAGTTCTAAAAACCATTTGTCTCCATTCGCTCCTATCTAACATGCTCACGCATGCTTGCTGGAAGTCCAAGCCCCTCGCACAAAAAACCTCCTTTACCCCATCCCTCCAGCCTTTACTAGGCCAACCTCTACTCCGCCTTCTCTCCACTACAGATTTATACGCTTGAAGTCATTCTACTTTGTTTCATCCTCTTTACATGTTTGAACCACCTCAACAACCTCTCCTCAGCCCTCTGGATAATAGTTTTGGTAATCCTGCACCTCCTAATTTCCAAACTACGAATTCTCTGCATTATATTCACACCATGCATTGCCCTCAGACACAACATCTCCACTGCCTCCAGCCTTCTCCTTCTTGCAACATTCACCACTCATGCTTCACGCCCATATAAGAGTGTTGGTAATAGAGTAATGGGAGTGAATTACATTTCAAGGTGGTGGAGATTGAAGTGTCTCAACACTAACACCTTTCCACAAAGGGCAGAGAACTGAAGTAGGCCAGTTGACCCAAGCTAGGGAAGAAAAAGAAGCAAGAATATGTAAGAAGAGGGAATGCAAAGAGAATGCAGAAGACAGGTCAAGAGGAAAGGAGAGAACATAAAAGTCAGATGAAGTCATGAGTGTTCTGAAGATAAGAGCATTCGATAATGTATTGAAAAAGACAGGCATCTACATAAGACAGAGACAGAGAGATTGTGAACACATAAGTTAAAATGAAAAACAAAAAAAAGTTGGATCAGTATTTAGTTTAGGAGCTCTAATGAGCTTGGTAATAATACACAGTTTAGGGTGGACAATAATGTGGTTTTGCAGTGGAGATTGTTTTATGTTCTACAAACTATTACACATATAGGCATACATTTACTGGAAAATAATCTCCCTCTCTCCTACAAACCCTAACATGAGCCTTACTATCCTCATAAAAACCCTTAACTGCTTTCAGTAACCTACCACTTATTCTGTACAAGTGCAGTATTTTCCACATTACTGTTCTTTCCACCTTATATGCCTTTTCTAAATTCATGAATGCAATGAAAACTTCCTTACGTTTATCTCATTTTTTTATTAACACATCGGCCATTTCCCACCGAGGCAGGGTGACCTGATAAAGAAGAAAATCTCATCATCATTCACTCCAGCACTGTCTTGCCAGAGGCACACCTACACTACAATTCAAAAGCTGCAGCATATCTCCACCCCTCCTTCAGAGTGCAGGCACTGTATTTCCCACCAGCTTCCTTGAATCCCTTCATAAATGTTACACTGCTCACACTCCAACAGAATGTCAAGCCATAGAAACCGTTTGTCTCCACTCGTTTCTTTCTAACATGGTCACGCACGCTTGCTTGAGGTTTAAGCCCCTCACATACAAACCCTCCTTATCTCCTCCCTCCAACCTTTTCTAGGATGACCCCTACCTTGCCTTCCTGCCACTACAGAGTTACACACCCTCCAAGTCACTCTATTTCACTCCATCTTTTCTAAATGAACCACCTCATCAACCCCTTCCCTCCCCTCTGGATATTAGTTTTAGAAACCCTGCACCTTCTTCTAACTTCCAAGCTACAGATTCTCTGCATAATATTCACACTCCACATTGCCCTCAGACAAGACATTTCCACTGCCTCCAGCCTTCTTCTTGTTGCAACATTCACCACCCATGCTTCACACCTATATAAGTACCACTATATGTACTCTCATACGTTTTCCCCTTTGTTTCCATTGATAACGTTCTTTGTCTTCACAGACTCCCCAGTGCACCACTCACCTTTTTCCCTTCCTCAGTTCAGTGATTCACCTCATCTTTCATAGACCCATCTGCTGACAAGTTTACTCCCAAATATCTGAATATTCACATTCACTTCCTCCATACTTCCTCCAGTTTGATACCCAATCTTTTGTTACCTAGATTTTTTGTTATCCTCACCACCTTGCTCTTTCCTATGTTCACTTTTAATTTCCTTCTTTTATATACCCTTCCAAACTTGTCCACCAGTCTATGCAACTTCTCTTCAGAATCTCCCAAAAGCACAATGTTATTATCAGCAAAAAAGCAGCTGTAACAACTCCCACTTTGTGTTAGATTTATTATCTCTTAATCCCGCACCTCTTCCCAACACTCGAGCATTCACTTCTTTCTCAACACCATCTGTAAATATACAGGTGAGCCCTGCTTATACAGCGGGTTAGGTTCCAGGCTACCACTGTAAAGCGAATCACCCCTTTTTTTTCACAGTGGAACTCTGGATTTCATACTTAATCCATTCCAGAAGGTCAGTCTAAATCTGAAACATACGAAAAACCAAGGTAATATTTCCCATAAGAAATAATAGTAAATACAATTAATCCGTTCCAGACACCCAAAATTATTAACAAAAAGTACATTTTTTAACCCTTTGACTGTTTCAGGCCCCTTTCTGAAACTGTCATTCTATGTCGCTCAGTTTTTGAAAAAAAAAAAAATTATTTTTTCTTATGAAATGATAGAGAATCTTTTCCCGATGGTAATGACACCAAAAGTTCGAAATTTGGTCGAAAACTCATGGAATTATGCTCCCGCGAAGTTAGCGGTCTAGGCAACATATGCGTATCGGCAATTTTGCCGACTTTGAGCCCTATTTTTCAGCCAATTCCATTGTTCCAGTTGACTAAACTCATAGCTATTTCTTTAGAACTCCATTTTATCTATCAGCTGAGTACAAGAAACCTCCCATTTACTAATTTGGACTACCCAATATGGTGGTCAGAAATTGGCAATTTGGCCAATTTCACGCAAACTAAAAAAGATGCCAATTTCAAAATAGGGTCCAGAATAAACAAGGTAGACATTCGTGGCACTAAAATAACATATGCTCTGTTCATTAGTCACATCTCTAGGCCCCTCTTATATTATTATTGCTTTCTATTTTGATTTTTTATTCATATAAAAAAAAAAAAAAAATTTTAAAGTTATGCAGCTACTGCATTTTGTAAAAAGGGATAAAAAAATATCATGCCTATGAAAGAATATTAACTCCCCAGTTGACTTGTATTGGAGGTTGGTTGTTTTATTTACTCCTGAACATGGTAAAAATCGAAATTTCCGCTATTTGACTTTTTTTAAAGGTTGTTTTCATCGTCAAAGTAAAAAAACTTCTCTATTTCTGTAATATGTTTTCCTTTACACCTAAGACCATGAAACGCGAAAAAAAACGTAAAACTATACAAAAATAAAAATCAAAGTTGGCATTTTATTCCAAAAAAACGACAAGTTTTTTTTTTTTCTCAATTAACAAGTTGCTGCAGGATTTTTTTTATGTGGTGCACACGACCACACAGCCCCATTCCCTCACATGGGGGCCCCTACCGCTTTCTCCCCATGATTTGAAGCCGCTAGAAATTATTGATATAAACTCAGAAAAATTGGCTGTTAACGTTTTTATACGCCAAAAATATAAAAGGGAAAAGAATAACAAAAAAGAATAACATATGTCACATTTCCGGGGAATACTGGGAAGTAAGTTACTGGCCTATTTCATGTTGTTCACCATTAACCCTTAACCCCTTCAGGGTCCAAGGCCAAAATCAAGGGGGTGCCCCAGTGTCCAAAAATTTTTGAAAAAAAAAAAAAATATTTTTTTTTTTACAAAATTTAAAAGAGCATTTTTTTTGTGAAGGTAAAAAGAAAAAAAAAAAAT